TGGGTGAGGGGTGTGGGGTGGGGTGAGGGTGGGGTAGTGTGTCTGTGTGTAGAATTAGGTGGCAGGAGAGATATGGACTCCTAAGACCCAAAATAACATGCAAGTCTGTTGGGGAGAAGCAGTGAAAGAGGTTCACAAGCATCAGTTCAGAGAGGCCATGGAGTCTACTCACCCCAGTAGTTTTGGACGTCTGTCAACTCTGTAATGAGACAGTAAAACATGTTAAAGAGAACAGGTGGTCTGAGGTCTGACATCTGACATCTGAGGATGTCTGACATTGGTGGGGAATTCAGAAAGGTGTGAACTGGTCACACCATTTGCCCTTAAATAGGCACTGCATTATCTTCAGCATACCTGTCCTCTGACTTCTCTTATAACTGCTATTCTCCAACATCCACCACACCCGCTGCCCTGTTTCTTCCCTCTATAGTAATCCCACATCCAAACTCTCCCCAACTCACCTCGAAAGACTCGAAGCATCTTTTTCAGATCCGGGGCTCGAAACAAACTTTTCAGCTTGGTGGGGAGAGCTTGAGGCTTCCTCAGGGTCCAGAACTCACTCCTAGTGAGAGCATACCTTATAAGAGCTTCTGGGTGCTGACTGCCTCCCCATCTCTCAGACCCATTAATGCACTTCAACATTCTTTCCTGAACAAAGTCAGTATTCTGCAAAGGGCCCTGGGCTGGACCAGAAGACTCCGACTAGAAGCCAGCTGCTCACTAACTGCATAGGCCTCAGTAAATATTTACTTTTATTAAAGCCTCATTAAGTTTCTTTTTTTGTAAGTTCTATAAGATACAATGATTTTCCCCTTTCTCTTTCTGTCCTAAAGGACAGTAGCCAACTGAGAAGAACTGACAGAACTCCAGTGGCTATGGAGTCCTTTGCTACATCTAAAAAGGGAACAAAATGTTTTAAAATGTCAATGCCGTATCAGGATGTCCACTAGGAGGCGCTGGAGATGCTCCCACTGATCAGAAACCCTGAAGCGGAGGCTAAAGAACACCTAAAGGAAGGGCTTGCTTCCACACAGGGTGTGTGGGCTTAGAATTCACAGGTACACCAAGAGGCCTGAAGGATCTGGATCTGTAGGCAACTTTAGATGCCACCCGGGTGGACGGCTTTGTAGATTCAATGCTATAGAAGAGACTTGTGCTGTCCCAGGTCTGTTTTTATTAGAATTGACACAAAAGGAAATCTGAGCAAGAAATGCAGCAAGACCTGGGCTGGACAACCAGGGGGAGAAAGGGAAAGTCACAGCTGGCACGTGAAAAGCCAATTCTCAAGCATGGGCAACACATGGATGGTGATTTCCCTCTAAGATGCACAGCCAAGGACAATGCGTATTGAGGCAGCTGTGACTAGAAAAACCAGCATCAAAGGCAGGTAGAGAGGTTGGTAAAAAAGCAAGTCTACTGACAATTCTGTCTCCAGTTAGCATCCCCTTACCATACTGATTCTACAGCCATGGATGTCAGCCTACTCCCTTATCTTTGAGATCCCTAAAGTCCCATGCAATTCAATACACCAGTCACAAAACTACCCTGTCTGTGACTTTCCCCCTGGCAATTATTTTCCTTTAAAGATTTATTATGTATACAGTGTTCTCTCTGTATACAGTATATCTGCAGGCCAGAAGAGGGCACCATATCTCATTACAGATGGCGGTTGTGAGTCACCATATGGCTACGAAGAACTAAACTCAGAACCTTTGGAAGAGTAGCCAGTGCTCTTAATCTATGAGCCATCTCTCCAGCCCCTCCCACAGGTAATTCTATAGGGGTAAGCCCAAGGCAATGAACTTATGTTCTCACATACCTTTTTGTGACATCGCTCACATCCTAGGGTAGAAAAAGACAAATTAAGTGAAGGATTATGTCTTCTTCCCACTTTAATCACCTGGTATAGTGACTAAGGACCCTCCACCCCCACCCCTACCCCCCAAAATACCTCCAGTTGCTACAAAGTATAGATGAGAACTCAGAGGAAGCCAGATACAGCAGGCATGGTGCATGCCTGTGATCCTAGCACTTAGGAGGCGGAGGCACAAGTACTGTGTTTAAGGCCAGCCTGGGTTACATAGTAAGAGTCCATCTCAAAACAAGTAAACACTCACAAAAAATGAAAACAACCCCATCTCAGAGCAGAGTTCCTGAGGACCCATGTACAAATTTCGATAAGTTCCTTTGTTTTTTGGCAGTGCTCAGGATCGAAACCAGGGTTTCATGTATGGCAGACAAATGTCCCACCACTGAGCTATGTTCTTATTCCTGTGGTTGAAATGCTATGCATGTGTATTACCTGCCATTTGCCATACAGCACCTGGCCCTTGAGACAGTCATAGGTCTCTGACAGCCACAGGTTTTATTTTATCTTTGTTCCTTTTTTTGAGACAGGGTTTCTCTGTGTAGCCCTGGCCTCGAATTCAGAGATCTGCCTACCCCTGCCTCCTACTGCTGAGACTAAAGAGGTGTGCCATTGCCACTTAGCTGAGACAGTTATAGGTTTTAAATGTGGTTCTCTCTCAAACTTCATCCTTAGATAACGAACATACCAGTGCGCTTACACATACAGGCTTAGCCACAAATACCTGGTAAGTATCTGTTACTATAGGGGAATTCTATACTCCAGAGAGTAAAATCAGAGAAAGGCTGTGGCACAGCTTTATCTGATGGGAACAGCAGAAGTCTTAAGGCCAGCATAGCTGTTTGACAAACATCCAGCAAAGCTGAGCCTCGTGATGGCTGCAGTGCCATCTCTGGTTTTCATCTCTGCTTGTTGCATACTTGGGAGACTTTTAATATTTGTACAATTTGGGGAGATTAGATTGATGGAAAACTTCTTAGGAATCTTTTATGCTTCTAAGTTTCCCCAGGAAAGTCCTGAACATACACTACCCCTCCTGCTTGAAGGTCTTTCTTATGCCTTGGAGTCTGTGAGACACATAAAGAAGCCAGCGGTCTCTTTAAGAGACTCAGACAGTTTTGAAATTCCTGTCCCTGTATTTCCTCAGGAACAAGATAGTCAAAACAAAGTAAACTTAAGAAGGTCAACAAGATTTGGTGGGCTAGAGGAGTTGGTAACAGTTCAAGACTGCAAGTCTCTTCTCACTATACTCAGGCAATTATGTGATATAATACAGCAACAAAGTTAGATTAGCTGAAGTTCCCATGCCAATATTTGAATAGTAACTGCAGCAGCTTTGGCCTGAGGATATTTCTTGGGCACTCTGACCATTAAGAGTTACTAGTACACTGCCTGGGCTGGCTTGAAGATTTTGTTTAGGCCAAACATCCTTAAAGCAACCAAAGCTAGCAGCCTGAGAACAGGTCTTAAAAATTAGGTTATGAGCCGGGCGTTGGTGGCGCACGCCTTTAATCCCAGCACTCGGGAGGCAGAGG